TGGGACTTACTCAAACTAAAAAGTTTTTTCTCAGCAAGAGAAACAATAAGAGAGGTAAATAGGGAGCCTACATCCTGGGAACAAATTTTTACTCCTCACACTTCAGATAGAGCCCTAATATCCAGAGTATACAAAGAACTCAAAAAATTAAACAATAAGAAAACAAACAACCCAATCAACAAATGGGCCAAGGACCTGAACAGACACTTCTCAGTGTCAGAGGAGGACATACAATCAATCAACAAGTACATGAAAAAATGCTCACCATCTCTAGCAGTCAGAGAAATGCAAATTAAAACCACCCTAAGATACCATCTCACTCCAGTAAGATTGGCAACCATTATGAAGTCAAACAATAACAAGTGCTGGCGAGGATGTGGGGGAAAGGGTACACTTGTACATTGCTGGTGGGACTGCAAATTGGTGCAGCCAATTTGGAAAGCAGTATGGAGATACCTTGGAAAGCTGGGAATGGAACCACCATTTGACCCAGCTATTCCCCTTCTCTGTCTATTCTCCAAAGACCTTAAAAGAGCGTATTATAGGGATATAGCTACATCGATGTTCATAGCAGCACAATTCACAATAACTAGACTGTGGAACCAAACTAGATGCCCTTCAATAGATGAATGGATAAAAAAAATGTGGCATTTATACACAATGGAGTATTACTCAGCACTAAAAAATGACAAAATCATGACATTTGCAGGGAAATGGATGGCATTAGAGCAGATTATGCTAAGTGAAGCCAGCCAATCCCTAAAAAACAAATGCCATATGTCTTCTTTGATATAAGGAGGGCAACTAAGAACAGAACAGGGAGGAAGAGCACGAGAAGAAGATCAACATTAAACAGGGATGAGAGGTGGGAGGGAAAGGGAGAGAGAAGGAAAATTGCATGGAAATGGAAGGAGACCCTCATTGTTATACAAAATTACATATAAGAGGAAATGAGGGGAAAGGGAAAAAAAAACAAGAGAGAGAAATGAATTACAGTAGATGGGGTAGAGAGAGAAGATGGGAGGGGAGGGGAGGGGAGGGGAGAGGGGATAGTAGAGGATAGGAAGGGCAGCAGAATACAACAGACACTAGTATGGCAGTATGTAAAAAAGTGGATGTGTAATCGGTTGATGTGATTCTGCAATCTGTTTATGGGGTAAAAATGGGAGTTCATAATCCACGTGAATCAAATGTATGAAATATGATATGTCAAGAGCTTTGTAATGTTTTGAACAACTAATAATAATAATAATAATAATAATAATAAAAGATCTGCAAAAAGATCTGCATAATTCTTCTGGTTCACATGGGACCCAGTACTGGGAACCTGTTGTCATCTCCGAGGAGCAGACATATGCAGAAGATTGATGGGCTACAATTTGAGATATTCTTGAATTTAAATGTGATAACAATATAAGTAGACTTTAATACAATAAAGCAAGTATTAATCCACCCCAAACTATCACAAGCTTAAATATATGTAGCAGTTTGTGTATTTATGAGCAGAGATCTCTATTCCAGTTCTGGCTCATCCACCTTTTAGCTAGTTAATGGCAGGCAAACTAGTCCACTTGAGCTTTCCTTTCCTCATCTGCAATGAGGCCTTGCAAAGTCTAAGATCACTTTCATCCTCACAAATTTACTAGGTTTGGAAAATCCAAGACTTTCAGCTGAAAGTGTGATAAATAGTTTATTTGTGCATTTTAACTTTTATAAATGTAAACTGACTTTTAAAGTGAACACTGTTGGCTACCAGGAGTAGAAGAGCCTCTCCCATCATTTTACTCATATAAACTTAAAAATACTCAAAATCTACCCAGGGTAATTTTGTGTGAATAATTTTAATCCCACTTCTTTTCTTTCTTTTCTATTTTAGAAATAAGAAAACCAAGTGGTGGAAAACAGTGGTAATGTGAAACTAATATCAATATCAATAACAACATTAAGATTCGGACTCTAACCTTAAGTCACCCAAAAGCCACAAAAGCTGCTCACAAAGTACAGAAGAAGCACTATACATTTCATGCAAAGTCAGAAATTCACAAAAGTATATGCATATTAATTTCTACCTTTGGTAAGGTTATTCAAACTATTTAATCTATCATATTAATTTGGAGGAATTTTGCATTTAAATATACTTGTGCAATATGGATTTGGAGAGGTTAGTCTGGGTAAGAGGGGGAAATGGCCTTTCTATATAAATATTGCACCAATGAGAGAATAATATTTTCTCCAAAAGGATTATAGCTTAGCAGATTTAAAGCACAAAGTATCAAGCTTCTCTTAGAAATAGTTACCTGATTAAAAAAAAATGAAGAAGAAAAAACTAATTATTTTGCCCTAAATATTGTCCAGCCAAATCATCTGATGGCAAAGAAGGGATGGTGGGCATCACCACGTTTTGCTTGACCCACTTTATTCCCAGTTACCTTCTGCTGCCACAGCCATTACCTTTGACATCTATGACATATTTCCATCATTGCTGCAGGGAGAAATCATGACGTGCCATCCAGAGAGACTCAGGGAAGCACAACATGACAGCAGAGTGAACAAACACTGTCACACAGGCCCAGAACAGCAGCAAGCTCTGCAGGAGTGGAGGAGTTCTAGCAACTTCTCTGCATTTTCACGCAATGCCTGCAATAACTTACAGGTACTGACTTTATTAGGAATTAAATCGTTCCCACCACTTTTCTGCTCCTTCAGGCCACAATAATGTTGGAGGATTATTTTTAAATTTTACTTCAGCAGCAAACTCTGGGGAGGGTGAATATGTAGAAAAGAGTCGCTTCATCCAAAGTCTGCGCAATCAATAAGAAAAATGGAGAGCAGAATCTGGGACTACCTCAGGGAGATGTGCAGTTAAAGAGTATGGAAATAGGGTAGGAAAGATTTCATCTCAGATTAGATGTCAGGACATATGACTGAATAGTAAGAGAGAAATTTTAGGTTTGGGTGAGGCGGGCATTTGGAGATGGCTTGGCACCCGGTCGTACATGCAACCCGAATACCCCTTGAGAACTTCAGTTCTAAGAACACAAAGGTTGTAACATATACACAGAGTTCAAACTTTTAAAACAACATGAAGCATACCATGGTAAAAATAATATGAGCATTGGACACTAAAACAGGCCTGTTCTCAAATCTTTCCTCCAAACTTTTACAAACCCAAACATGTCTTTTAAACTTTCTGAGCCTCGGTTCCTTTGTGTACAAACCATGATCATAATCCCTACTTTTCAGGTCTGATGGGCATTGAAGAAAATGCACGTTCTGGGCTTCAAGTTCATCCTCAACAAAGAGCAGTGGTTATTTTTTTATTGTTACATCACCAGAGGAGTGTAAAGCCTTCATGAATTGGTGGCACTTTCCTTGGAGGAAGTGATGTTACCACACCCTTCAGATTTGAAGGATCTCACCTGGCATCTGTCAGACTAAAACTCTGCCAAGATCTGTGTGTCTGGCAAACTCTGTCCCCCTTACCATCCATAGTGTTATTCTGTCCTCGTCCTGCACAACCCACAAATGCATATCGGTTCCCTATGAGGCGTGTCATGGTAACATGAGAACAGAGAGAAAATAGCATAGGACAGAAATTATGTCAACTACATTTCCTTCTCCAAAGGAGATTAGGAGCCAGAGTGACATGGACCCATTCAAGTTGACCGTTCGTGCTGAATGTCACGCACAAGCTGGCCTGTCCCCGATGCGCTGGCCAAGCACAGGGAGCTGCCCAGCCTTGTCCTTGTTTACTTGATTGACCTGTCGTGCAGCCTTTGGACGGGGAACGTGGCCAGGGGTGTTACTCTCTGAGGGATCCCTTATTTTCTATCAAGCCAGGGCCTGCTGCTCTAAGGCTTGCTCCCACTCTACCTCATTTTGGTCTCTCGTGGGTTTCTTCTCTGCTGACGTGTGAAACTTGCCTTAGATCAGAGTTGATGCATTGACTGACCAACTGACAGGCCATCCTGAAAAACTGCCAAACGGGGCTGGGGTTTGGATAGCAAAATATGAGGCTGGAAACCGCCTGAGAACTGAGCTCAGCTCCCTCCACTGAGATGGGCCTCTGTCCAACCTCCAAGAAATGAAGAACAGTGGCCATTCAGCCAACCAGGAGTTCATTTCCAAATAATCCTTCCCACGACCTCCACAGAGTCCCCAAGCACAGCCCTGCAGGGGCATGTTCCAGAGGCCGGGGAGCCCCACACCCTGGCCTGGCAGCCCCCAGCCCTGACTGCTGCCTGCTGCCCTCTGCTGTGGCTAGCCAAGCTGAGGAGAGGTGCTGGGAGGCGGACTGTGCTGTCCTGCATGCTCTGCACTCATGAGCCAAGAGGGAATTTTCTGGCTTCAGGGGGACATTTGATTGCAATAGCCAGCTGTCAAGCCCCTTCGCAGATGGGACCTCTGAAGGCCACCCTTTGGTGCTGTGGCTACTCTCAACCTTTAAGGCTTTCACTTTACCAGAGAGGTATCTCACAGGGGAGCTTTTCCTGAACAACCCCAGACAAGTCCAACCCCTGGTCTATTCTCCCCCAAAGCTGTCTCACATTCTTGTCATGTTTCCCAGGCCCTGAACTTTGGGTGTTCCTGGAGGACAGGATCCAAATCACATTTGTCTCTGAACTTTTCTATCTGGCATATTCCTTGAATTAAAATTTAAAATTTATTAAGTATCTAATATGTGGTTGACATTCTACATGTTTAAACACATTGATTCTCGCAATAATTTTAATATTGCCATTGCCGTTTTATAGCATGGGAAAAATCCAGAGCCATTGAGAAATTTGTGCAAAAGCACACTACTATCCAGTGACTGATTCCGAAAAGGTGTGTTTCCATTAACAGCTATAATTGTACATGGTAGGCACTTTTAACTTGATGAGCGGGAGCACGAATGTGTTTAAATATTATCCACCTACCACACACTCTGCATTCCATTTAATATAAATTTTCTTAATTCAAAGGAAAAGTGTGAAATGAATTGAATCGCTCAGATATAATTACACAACAACTTTTTAATAATGTCAAATATAAGAGTGTTTTTCTTAAGACAGTGCTGATGAATAGCCCCCTCGCTCACAGAGGAATAAGAAAGTGGGAACAACTGTCAATTGAAGTAAGGAAAAAACTTACTCTCTGAGAGTTCAACCGGTAAAAAGAGATATGATATTTTGGATCCTCCACATCAGGAGATTTTTAAAAAAAAAAAGAATGGGGATACCAGCTGTCCTGGATGGATTAGTCATCAAGCAGGCCTGGGTGTCCACAGGGCTTCTGATAAGAGGCCCCTTCGAGAGTCATCATTCATCATTCAGTGCTGGTATTCCAGGCCTGATGGAACAAGCCTCTCACTTGAAGAGCTTCTTGCAAAAGTGGAATTTTTCAGCTGGAATTTCACGCTGAAACACACAGACAATGCCTGGTTGCCATTATACAAGCTGACTCCAGACAAAATTGAGATGTAGCATTTCAGATTTGCTTAAATTGTCAGCCTTCCCTTCCCTCACAAGCCTGTTCTTATACCCTCCTCGTCTCATTCTCCTCTCTCCTCATTCTTTCCTTTGATCAAATTCTGCTTCACAAGCAGTTTTTTGCTCTGTTTACATACTTACAAGCTATGTAATTTGCCACAGTATCTACCTTGCAGAGGCCCACTGGCCTTGTGGTCACCCATGACATCTTCCCTTAACACCAGTCTTATCTGTGAGTTGAGATTCTTACCATCAGCACAATTCCCTTGATGCTTTTAGTTATGTTCAAGTTGGCTTCGGTGTGATGACAGCTGTACCAGCTCCATGCCTCACACATGATGGATCCAAGTACCCTTCTCACTCTAGGAAAGAGAAGAAAGCACTCTCGTCCTCTCTCTGGCAATAATTTTATCTCATTTCCAAGCCCACTGTTATCCATTTAATCTTTACTTTTATGAATAGTACCTTACTTGAATTCTCATGCAGAATCAGTAATCAAATTTATCAGAGAATATACAAAGACATCATCAGGAGCTTTTATCCTGAGCTGAGGTCCTAATTAAGCACTGTCACAGAAGTGAATAGTTTGAGACTCATCTGGTAACCACCGTGTTCCCATTTTGAAGTGAATTTATCTCATGATGAATGGTTACATGTTTAAAGTGGGAAAGATAAGAGGTGCACCTGCTGCTACAAGCAGGAACCACACTCCTAAGAGAGGCCCACTTTTCCCTGCAGGTATAATGTGGCATTTTCTAATACTAATGCTGAATTGATGCATTTCCTCAGGTGTAGGACCTTACCAGAATATAAATTGGAGTTAATGATGAAAAGTCTCACTATGACCTGAACATGCATAGATCAGGTTATGAGAAACCACGGCAATTGTTTCTCTGGCTTCTGTCTCTCTGTTCCATGCCATGGGGACTCTGTGGCCACAAATGATTCCAGGAATCAGCAACAAGCCAGACAAGTAGAAATGCAGACCCCGAAGCTGGTAGCTGTTAAACTTATCAATGATAAATCATTTCTTCCACCATACCTGTTATGGCTTTGAATTTGTAACATCTTTATACTGGCAAGTCCCAGCTCAGATAAGTTTAATTATTTATAGCTGCTGCTAAATTCAATTTTTATAAGACTTGAGCATATGTATAAGTATTCTATAGTCAATGAAGCAAATAAGATAACATCAGGATGAATATATTGGAGAGGGACTTTATTACAGTTTAGAGAGAAAAAGCATTCTCCTTCTATAAATGAAGTCCACTGTCTGCTATGAGTGCCTGTGTCTCTGAACACTCATCTTCCCAGTACAACCACCATACAGCATAAAACAGAGGAAGCTTCTAGAGGCAAAAGAGAAACATACAGCAGAGCAAAGTACAGAATTTTAAGTACAGCAGGACGGGTTATACACTCCTGGGTCACAGCTCACTGACTAAAATAATGAAAACTATTCTTTTAACCAAGGTGATCTGCACATTCCAATGTCTAAATGATGCTTTCTTGCTTTTTGTTAATTTATTAATGTGCTGCAAAACATTTTATTCAAATCTTTGGCATTGTTTTCAACATTCCTGATTAAGTAGTCTATATGTTCTACTATTTCTTCAAACAACTTTTTAAGAAGGATAAGAATCATTTGGTATGGAAGTTCTACCTTGAAAATTAGAGGGGGAAATGATGACTTATGCATATAGTGCTAATAATTAAGGGAGGGTAAATTTGGTATAACTCATTTAATAATGTCATTTCAGTTGCTGTCATTTCATTTTTGTTTACCAAGAGCACTTTTTTAAAAAAAAAAATTGCTACACTTAATATCTCTCTAATTAAGACCTAGAAAAAGATCATTGATTCATTTGTTTTCTTTTTCCCTTCAACAAAGATGCATTGAGTATTTACTATAGGCTAGACACTGAGGGTTCATAATGAGTCAGGACTGATCCCTGCCCTTGGGGGACATGGATGTAAGATATATAAATAAGGGCTCAAATAAACCACTGTACACTATGTCATAAAGGCAGTGTACAATAGTCCAAAAATGAAAACATAAGTTCCATCAAGGCTATTAATGAGGTCCTTCCCCTGGAGGCAACCCTGGGTGTGAGTAGGAGCTCACCTGGCCAACAAGTGAGGTGAGTCACTCCAAAGAAGGGAGCCACATGGGGACAGGCACAAAGGGCTGGAACATGTGCTTAAGCACTGACAGGTATGTGCCCCTGAAGTGACACATGCCCTGCAATACAGTGAGTAAGGCAGGGCCAACCAAGCAGGCTGTTACAGAGATTTGGGCCTTAATCCTAAACATGAAGGGAAGACTTTGCAGGATTGTCAGCAAAGGAATGGTGCTACAGTCTGAATGCTTTGATCTCCCAGATTCACAGGTTGAAACCTTTTCACTCACATGAAGGCATTAGGAGTGGGGCCTTCAGAGAGCATTCAATCATTATGGCAGAGACTACACAAATGGGATTAGTACCCTTATAAGAGATGCCAGATAGCCCCTTCCACCACGGAGGACCCGATGAAAGCACCATCTATGAGGAAGCAGACATTCACTAGTCTCTGATTCTACCGGTACCTTGATCTTGGACTTCCCTGACTCCAGAACTGTAAGAAATATGTTTCTGTTCATGATAAACTACCAGGTTTCTGATATAAAGAGTCTAAGGCAAGTAGCAAACTCACATTTGCATTCTACAAAGGAGAGGGCTGACAGCACCATGCAAGGTGATCTAGAGTAGGTGAGGCCAGAGAGGGAGACAGGTAGCCATCATCACAGAGACCTAAGTAGGAGCTGAGAAGGGTTTAATACAAGGTAGTGCCAGAGGAGATGTAAGGAGTGGATCCAAGCGACTCATTATTACTCCTATGTGCCACAAAAGTGTAGTTCCCTCGATTTTTCTGTAACATATAAGTTCCACCTGCTCGGGTGAGGAAACGGACTTTCTAATTAAAAATAATACAACCTGCCTGGCGCCGGCAGCACATGCCTGTAGTCACAGTTGCTTGGGAGGCTGAAGCAGGAGGATCATGAGTTCAAAGCCAGCCTCAACAAACACGAGGCGCTAAGCAACTCAGTAAGACCCTGTCTCTAAATAAAATACAAAATAAGGCTGGGGATGTGGCTCAGTGATTGGGTGCCCCTGATATCAACCCCCAATACCAAAAAAAAAAAAAAAATCTCATATCATCTAAATTTTGTCTTTAAGCCATGCAAGATTCAACTCCTTCTCAGCACTGCTGTGGGTTTTCTCTTTAGACAACTCCAGCTCGTTGGGTCAATGTTCAGTCTCTTAACTCTCCAGGGTAGAGTCTGAGTGGATGAGAGGTATTCCCTCTTAGCAGGAGATGGAGGCATTAAGATCCACATGTTCTGGCCATCTCACATTTGCTGGGGTGCTGCTCATCAGGTGTCATTCCCTGGTCCCGTCTAGCTTTTTTGAGGTATCCTGTTGCCTCCTTCCTCTGGGGTTTAGACAATCACAACAGGAGGAAAGACAGTGTATGGGGACAGAGGCAAGGAGGTAGCAGACAAGGTAAGGAAAGTGTGTGGTTACCTTTGCTTTCTCAGTTAAATAGGAAGCAAGAATGAAGAATGTGAATGAAAAAGGTACAAGCAAGAAGAGAGGGAAAGGAGTCACAGATAAGGGCTCAGAGGACGAATGAACCAGAGAAATATGGTCCAATTACACACTATATGCATGTAATGAAATTCCACACTATAATTCATATATATGTATAATTACTATATCAAGAAAAAAAATTGAAAAAATATTTAAAGAGAGAAATGTAGTCTGATTACATATGCATTCAAGGCTTACTGGAGACTCATGGTCATTTATTAGATAGGTCATGGGCCTGGGCGTCTGGTTTTCTCTGGCCGCTTTTAGCTATGTGATGCAGGTACTAATTAAGTGGAAATGATTTAACCAGTGTTCAGATTTTTCAAGGTAAGTTGGACGAGGAGAGAAGGGGAAAGCAATGAAGAGTGATTGAGGAGACTGGTTATAGAACGAAGCTGGAATCCAATCCAATCCCATCTGGATGTGGAGGGGAAGAAGGACATAAGGGAGTGAGGGACAGTGGAAAGGCAATAGGGTACATGAGCTATTGAGCCACAGCAATGCTGAGGAAGGGGTAGTAAAGGAAGTGAGCCACAAAGAAAGAAAGCTGTAGCAAGAGGCTGGGATGTTTGAAAGGGACAGTATAGAATCTCTAGATAGTACAGGGGATTGCTAAGAGGTGAGGGTGGAAGAGGTGTCCAGAATGAGATCTCTGGAGAAGAGGTCAAAGAATTGAGAGACAGTTCATGTGAACAGACATTTTAATCACCAAGAAACAGGGCAGTCATTGGTTTGGACAGATCATCGTGAGCCAGGGAAGTAGTTCTGGGGTGGTGAATGACTGCAAGAGTGAACAGGCTGTGGATGGTTGTTTGACCCAGGAGTTCTAGAAGAGAGGAAAAGAGAGAATGGAGAGTCTGGAAATGGCAAAGCAAAAAGTTACAAGGTGTCGCCTACTCCACCCAGAGCCTCAACACTAGAAAATGCTGCTTTTTGAGAAGGGTGCAGGGAAATGAAGGCATTAACCCATGTACCAAGAGATTTGGTACTAGGGGAAGCATTCCCTCCCTCTTAGCAGACTGCCTTTTTCACTATTTGCAAAAATATTTTAAAAGGGCGATGATTTTGAGGCAAAAAGACAAAATATGTTAAATGTTGGCTTTGTGGAGAAGTGCATTATCCCAGTTTATAGTAAATGTGAGAATCTATTAATACTGAACTGTGCCTACTGTATTTGGCTGGAGACGCAAGAAATCTAGATCGATAGACCTGGGGTTTCCATTACCACTCACTCTAGTCTTTGTCCCGAGGAAACATAATAAGCAGCTTGGAACACTGTCCTATTGTTCACATTATATGGGTGGGAAGACTAAGCCCTTAATTAATCAGGGAATGGATAATTGATAATTGGTGAGTCCCTGACGGTAGTCACGATTACATACAGGTCTGTGAAATTGATAATTGTCTTTTCCCCTCCAAATGGTCATGATTGCTTATGGGTCATTTTGTAATGAACACTGAATCACCGTTCATTCGCCTGGGAATGGTGATTAGTGGTTTGCTAGAGCTGAGGGTTTTCTCTGTGTGGAAGTCTTCCCACTATTCATGTCAGCTTCCTTTGAGAAAGAGATTTCCAGATTTAAATACACCTGGAAGGGTTAAGGAGCAATGCAGGGGGGAAAAAAACTTGCAAAAAAGAAAACCGAACTTTTCAAACAAAAGTGATTTGAATTCAATGCCCAAAGAAACCTGGTGGC